TTAGCTCTGGTGTCTGTACCAGGACTGTTGTAGCTAACGTTAGCTCTGGTGTCTGTACCTGGACTGATGAAGCTAACGTTAGCTCTGCTGTTTGAATGAAGCTAAGTTGTGTGCAAACAGGGTTTCATTACTGCCATCTACTGGGCTGGAGTGTGCCGGAAATGAGTGAACTGAGAAAGATGTGATTAAATATATTATTTTTAAAGATCTTTTACCCTTTTTTAAAATAATGATATTTATTTATATATATATGTTTTACTGTAAAATTAATGAAGGCATTTTTTAAAAATATTTTGATCATTTTGAATATTTATTTGCAGCGTCCTGCCACACAGATGTACGTTTCAACGCTCGCTCTCTGTGCAATCTCCGTCTCTGTGATTTAACGTGTGTCTGTGGTAATAACATGTTACATCTGGTTATATGTGCAGCTTGGATTTCTGCTTCTGTAAATGTAACATTGTTTGAACAGCTGTGGAAGACATCGAGCAGAGAGAGCAGCCACGCAGCACACATGCTTTTCAGCTTCTGCCACTACCTTTCTTCTAATTGTCTCCATCTTCCCTCCGGCTCCTCTCCTGTCCATCACTCCCCTCCCCTCCGTACCTCCCTCCCTCCCCTCCTCTCCTCACCTCTCCTCCATCTGTCTCCTGCTCAGATCTCGCCGACAACCTGCCCGTGGACGACTTCACCTTCCAGGAGCAGCTGCTGACGCCTGGGTTGTCCACAGCCGGCGTCGGCGGCGTCTCCTCTCCTGCCGCTCCTCTGTGGAGGAGCAGCCGTGTGCTCTCCCTGACGCTCCTGCTGCTCCTGCCTGGTCCCCACTGACTGCTGCTCCCTGAGACTGTACCCAGGGGTTCAGAACAACGTCGGGGGTGTGTGGGATTCTTACGTTGGTTGGTTTGTAAAATATGGCCTAAACGGCCGAATTTCTTTTCTTTCTTTTTTTCAGTTTTCTCAACTTTTTTTTTTGAATGCTTTAACCTGGGAAAGGTTTGGGAGAGAAGAACAAACCACCAGTTATGACTCAACTGTTTACAGCGTCCCATTCACCTGATCCCAGATCTGTGGACATGAAGACCAAGCTGGGATGTGATTGGTCTGCGCTGGTCCTGGTGACCACGCAAAGGTTGGGCTTATAAAGTCCAGAATCGAACCCACAACCCTCCAAGGTGTAAGACCAAGGCATTAACCACTGAGCTCCAGTGACCTTTGACCCTGAGACTAAAACAAAAGAGAGAAAAAAAGTCCAATATTGTAAATAGAACTCTCTGCTCCATTATTACTGCGATGCTTACAAACTGGAACAAACTTTAGTCCCAACAGTCACTGGTCTTTTCACACAGACTTCTCTTCTTTTTTCTTCTTCTTCTCCTTCTTTCTCTTCTTCTTCTTCTTCTTCCTCTTCTTTTTCTTCTTCTTCTTTTTCTTCTTCTTTTTCTTCTTCTTCTTTTTCTTCTTATTTTTCTTCTTCTTCTTCTTCCTCTCCTTCTGCCTCTTCTTCTTCTTCTTCTTCTTCCTCTACTTCTTTTTCTTCCTCTTCTTCTTCTTCTCCTTCTTTCTCTTCTTCTTCTTCTTCTTCTGTGTCAGTCAGCGACGTCCTCCCAGGATCAAACTACAGACCGCTGACGCCTCTGCTCAAAGGCTGAGGTGGACGTCAGTTTGAAGAAGCACCATGTCCTCAAATGATGGTTTTTTTTGTTTTTTTTTAACTTTAACCTTTGACCTTCTCTGTCATTGTGTCGTCATGATGGTGATATTTCAGACTGGTTTCCTCAGTGGGTGGGGGCCGCGGGGGGGTCTCACTCTATAATATAATTCATTTCATAATGTTGATTTATTTTATGTGTCAGTAAAAACTCCAGTGTTTTCTGTGTTGGTGTCATGTTTACATGAAGACGTTGATCTGTGACGTTGACATATTTCACACGGGGAAAAAAAATAGTCTCTGTGCTTTGGACTGTGGAGAGGTTCTGGAGTATTCTTCAACACTGTGGTCCACGGGGGTGAGGGGGGGGCAGAACGATGGAACATGAATGTGTACATAAATGTAGAGTTTGATTTCTACAAACGTCAAATAGTTTGTTTTTTCCAAAGGTTTTGATAAAAAGTCATTGTTTTGTTTTGTTTTTTAACTTCGTGGCATATCGTGTTTGATTTTCCTGGTGTCGACTGATGATGTTGAGACGGGGGGACGAGGGACGAGGGACGGATCCACAGACTGTGGACGAGTCGTCATGAGGAGAAACGCAGGTGTCGAACACTGGTACACACCCCACCTGGGCTGGGATCCAAGGTGCAGCCTAGAAACCCAAACCAAGAACAGCGCCATCACCTGCTTAGTAAAAAAAAAGCATCCCAAAAATATACACACCCTAGTGGCGCCTGATGAATGTTTTTTTTTTTCTTTTCAAGGTACAGTTTCTCCAGTGACTGACGAAGGGCAGATTACGATGTAAAATAAAGCGAAACTTCTTTGTTGTTCTGGGCTGACGTTTTTGTGAATGTTTTACAAAATAAATAATATTTCCATTCTAAGTCAAATCATCATTATTAACAATGTTTATAAAAAAAAAGAAACAAACAAAAAGTCCAGGTTCCAGCGCTTTTTACCTGCAACTGTTTTGTCATCAATCTCTGTTTACAGGAAACCCCTAGTGGTGACAACGCAGAACTGTTCCACTGAGCCGGAATGTTCCCTGTGGTGTTTTTATGGAGGTGTGTGTGTAACAACATAACGTCACACAGTCGGCCATTCATTCATCTTCTGACCTTTGACCCTTTTCAGAGTGAGGCAGCGAACAGGACGCATTATTTTTTATTATTAATTTTTTAAATATGACTAAAGGAACTCAATAAAAGCCAATAAAATTCCACAGCAGTGGTGAGTTATTAAAGAACAGAGAGAGAAAAAAAAAGTGTCGTGAAGTAAAAGTGAGTTAGTGACAGATGAACTGAAGCAGCGAAGGTTGTTGTCCTTAAAGACCTGGAAGGTTGAACTGAGGTGATGATGAAACACCAATAATACTGATGAACTAATAACTAGTTAAGTTACAGGTTTATTAAAATCATTTCAGAATGAAAGTTCACGATCTTGAAGCAAAAGTTAAAAGTTTCAGAGGAAAAAAAAACAATAAATATCAGGGCTGTAAAAAAACATCGATTCACTGAAATATCACAGTATTTCGTTTAATATTAGCATAAAAAGATTCATGGAATTACATTCCTACAATTAAAATGTTTTTTTTTTAAAACAGATTCTTGCCAATACACAGCCCTGATAAGTATCATAAATAAAACACTTTCTTACTAAAAAAACATTGATTCACTGAAATATCACAGTATTTCGTTTAATATTAGCATAAAAAGATTCATGGAATTACATTCCTACAATTAAAATGTTTTTTTTTTAAAACAGATTCTTGCCAATACACAGCCCTGATAAGTATCATAAATAAAACATTTATAATTAACTCAAAACAACAATTATATTTTTCCAAACTCGACCTGCATCAGTTTTCTTTTACAACACACCTTGATTTGTTGATCATTATTATTTTTTTTAATTGTATTTTCATATTTCAAAGTTTCATTAAAGGTCCAGATCCAGCCCGCGGGCCTTAGGTTTGGCACACCTGCAGTACCTTCCACCAGCCTGTCCGTTCCTCAGCAGGGTCTTCGGTTGGATTCTCACCTTTGACCCTCATTAGTTTCCTCTTGGTGTCGCCCGGTCCAGGTAACAGACTGTCATCCAATCAATGAAACAAGGTTAATTAGTGCTAATTGTTTGTGTTTGGTCTCTGGTTTTAGGCCTGAAACTGAAGTAACGTCCGCCCGTCACAGCTCCTCACATTAAAGGAGCCCCTCACTACAAACAGTCCAGTTGTTGTGACCTGCTGCTCCGCTGTGACTTCTCACACCCAGGTCTCACCCCCCTCCAGGTCTCACCCCCCTCCAACCCC